GGCGGGGGAGGGGGTAAGTACTTGTCCCGAATAGTCTCTTTTTCGAGAGGGGGGGTCGTTAAGAGGTCAGCCTCGAAACATCATTTTTATTGTGTCACGGATTGACTGCTATATCTTGCCGATCGCTCCGCGCGAATATTGTGACAGCGTCTCTCCGCTCTTGTAACTTTATTTGCCCCCCTTTTTTCCTCTTTGGCTCCGCCCGCGGTACACACGGGAGCGCAGGTGGTGGTGAAGAACGAGTTCCACTTGCCGTATCGTGCGGTCATCCGCGTGTACTTCGGCAGCAACAGCCTCAAGACCATCGAGGCTACGGCGGTGCCGAGGGCCGACGGAGAGACCACGCTTCACTGGAAGCTCTACCGGAACTTCGCCATCACTCACCCGCTCGACGAGGGGCCCATCAACAAGGTGCGTGTGGTGGAGGGGGGACGGGGGTACCGTTTGATGAACGAAAATCCTCCGTTGCCCTGGTTCAAGCCCAATCTTGGTTTGATCCAATTTGTCCCGTTGTGAATAGCACTCGCTTTTTGCCGCACGCCACGATCGCTTGAAGAGACGCGCTTTACCTTGCCCTGGCTGACTCTTGCGCTGTCACTGCAGGCGGGAGATTTCTTGTTCGGACAGATGATGGACCTGACGCTGAAAGAGGACAAGGAGATCATTGAGAACATTTACCCCGAGTACCAGCGCGGTTTCATGAACGCCCGCTACGACCAGCAGGTGAATTGTAGATGTACAGCCACGGCATCAGCTGCTTATTCAACATTGACGACAATACGGCTAAAGCCAATCGTCGCCATTGTTACTTTCATTTTTTTTTATAGTAAACCGGAGGCTCGCCGCCAAAACACATGATGAGCGAGTCTACTTCCACCTTGCGCACAACGGACCTTTGCGTTTTCGTGTTTCGTTGCCGCTGCTGCTGACGCGCGACCCACAACGGCCTGACACAACCCAACCGAATGCGCCGAAACAACGATGAAAAAAACAGATGCTGCAGTACCGCAAGGCCATCACGAACTTCCAGGCCACCGCCGCCGAGCGCGCCAACACCCAGCTCGAGACCTCCCTCCAGATGGAGCTCCTCAACCGCATCTCGCGCAGCGAGCGCGGCCTTGCCTCCACGCGCGGCGACCGCTCCGCCATCCTGGACCTGATACGGCGCCTAGAAGACGTGCAGGCGACGACGCAGCCCCCTCCGCCGAACGCCGGCGGCGGTGAACAGAAGCTTGCGGCGGACGCGGCGGCGGCCGCCAGGGCGGCGACGGCGGCGGCGGCGGCGGCGGCGGCGGCGGACGAGAACGCCCTGAGAGAGAGCGTGGAGGGGGAGTGGCACCTGGAGTTCGTGTCGAACGACGGGGGGGAGGAGGGGGCGCAGGAGGGGTGGGACTTGGCCTCCTCGACAGACCCCGAGAAGAAGGAGCGGGTGAGGCACGCACATGGTAGCCATAGCAGCCAGTGTGCCGGTCTTTATTGTCTTTATTGTCGGAAACCTGAAAGGGTGGCCGATCTTGGTGTTCTGAGGAAGCCAGCAACGACACCCTGTTCTCTCACAGCCTGCACAGAAGGAATCAGTGCTTGTTGAGCTACTTATTTCGAGGCATCCCTTCTTTCCTGCGCTCGGCACGCCACGTATCTTCACGCGCATGCTTAAAGCTGTAGGGTTCCTACCTGCTTACGTACGTACGTCCTCCTCCTCCCGATCCGATCTCGATCCGGTCCGCGCATCGCATCACATCGCATGCAATACCAAACTCTTTTTTTTTTTTCGCAGCTCGCGGTGCTGAAAGAAGCCGGTAGCGAGGCCCTCCTGTTCGACTGGAAGGAGACCGGCCGTCCCCTGTGGGCAGACACGTCGGAGAGCGTCCAGATTATCGACACCAAGGCTCGGTAAGGTTTCCGAGGCGATCTCGTTTGAGTATGGGTGGGTGGGAACCCTTTTTTTGACTCGGCACATCGTGTCGGCATTTTTTGGAGTACCCCCGGCGAGATTCGGGTGCTGCCATAGAGGTAGAGGGTTAGGTTGAGGTCGGCGCAACAAGAATTGCGATGTCTCCTCGACCTTTCTGAAGCTTGTACTACATAGGACTCGACAGAGCAGTCGACAGTGAGGCTTGCTACGGTCACCATTGACACATTAATAGCATGCACACCTCGCAGCACGCCAGCTTTTGTTTTTCCTCGGCGCACTTGAGGGTTTGCGTAGTCGCGCCCCCCTTTACTGTCAATGGTCTATATCCGCCAGGGCATGCCAACCATGAGTACGCCCCCCCCCCCCCCCTCCCCCCATTTTCCGCCCAGGACCTTGACGAACCGTGCCGTGTACAAGGGCTGGAGCGGTTTCACCACGACTGTTCAGCTCGACGCGGTCATCGAGCCCCTGAAGGACGAGGCCAGCCGCCTCATGGTCGGCTTCCGCAAAGCGATTGTGAACGTCGGGGGCATGAAGGTCACCTTTCCGCACCTGCAGCGCTTCAGGTCAGTGTCGACTGTGGAATTGCCTATCAGTCCGAACCCGTAACTTTTGCGGCGAGGCTGGCTCTGTCGGTGCCAGAAAGGCTAGAAACGCACAACAGCACGAAGCGTTGGGTCGTAGGGTGTCTTAACGTAGCGTCGCAAACGGTTTACTCCATGTTAACGCTGGTGTGGTGCTGTTTTTTCTTTCATTTTTCATTTTTCACTTTTCACTTGTCTGCCTGAGTTCCGTTGTTTTTCGTGCTGGCTTGAAGGCTTGGGGTCGGTGGTGGGTGGGAACGTGTGTGTGGCCTTTTTTTCTTTTGCCATTTTCGTCTTTGGCGCCAAGCTTGTTGTTTCACCGACAGGGAGGCAGTGAAGGAGCAAATGCCACCTATATCGGTATATCGGTTTTCGGTTTGGGGTAACGACTATTTCCTTTCACACGTCCCCTCTTTCACGTGGTCAGTAAAACATTATCTTTCTCTCCCCCCCCATAAGACAACGCACGACATGATTCTCGCTCCCCCCCTCATTTCTTTCCGTTGTTTTTCGCCCGAACACACAAACAAAAAAAAACGAAAACAGCCCGACGGGATGGATGGAGACCACGTACCTGAACCAGGGCATCCGCATCGCGAGAGGGAACAAGGGCTCCATCTTTGTCCTCACGCGCCAGCCGGTGTCTTCTCGTCTTTCCTCTTCTTCGTCTTCGCCTACCGTCACTAACGGGGGCGCCGCCAACAAGAGCTTGTTCCAGTAGCCAGAAGAGGGAGTGGGTGGGAGGGGGGGGGTTGATCTCTTGGCAACGAGTTGGAGGGAAAGGGGAGAGCAGAACAGAGAGAGAGAGAGAGAGAGAGAGAGAGAGAGAGAGAGAGAGAGAGAGAGAGAGAGAGAGAGAGAGAGAGAGAGAGATACTGCTGAAGGTTTGTTGTCCGAGAAAAACCGAGAGCGCTCTTTATTGGAGCCTAAAAACATTAGGCCTCTGAAAGAGAAGGTGATCCCCAAGGGGATTCTGTCCAGGAAAGAGAGGGAGAAAAAAGCTACTGAAGTATATTTCTCGGAAACTGTAAATAAGTGAAGGTGTCTATATTGTACACGTCGGATCATTATTCAAGATGATCCCCAAGGGGATTGTGTCCAGGAGAGAGAGAGAGAAATAATAGCGATGTTTCTCGGAAACTGCAAATACATGAAGATGTCTATATTGTACACGTCGTATCATTATTCAAAGTTGGTCATTTTTTTTCGTAGCCGAATGGACGGCTCTATTGTAGCGAGGCTGTGCCAATACCTTGTTGATGTCTCAGAAGCAAGTCGCATGACTGAGAGTAGTATAGCTGCTGCTGTTCTTGGCTTTTCGTTAAGGCGGAGGGGAGAGACGCTGCTGCCGTCTCATTCGCTTCCCCGTCACAGGTCAAAGTTGGCAATTTTTTTCCCCGTCTTCTTCTGGCATTGTTGGTGTTGGGCGTTGGCGTGGCCTCAGCGTTTTGATGGTTCATGAGAAGGGTGCGCTTCAACGTGCACGATGGACTTGTGGGAAAAAATACCGCATCGGACGTGACGTCATGGCAGTGTAGGACCCTGTAGACGCGGTACAACAGCACAAGCAACATACCGACGAGGTGGTGCCCGCTTGAAATATCCGAGTTCCTACTCTGTCGTCGTGGGATCAGAATTAACGGTGTACGTGCATGGGTGCCATTGCTTCTGTTTTTGTCTTTTTTCTGGGAGTGAGGTTCAGGAAGGGGTAGGGAGAGGGGGCCCTGTAAATGTGGATAAATGTAGGTGTGGGGTACGAAGCGGCGTATTCCTCGGAAGGCGCACGCCTTTGTGGAGAGAGAGAGTGAGGGAGTGAGAGGGAGAGCAGACACGCACACGACGGCTTGGCAGAGGGGGAGCTGGAAACGGAGGCTAGGACTTGCTCCATTTTTGGCCAGGTCGTGTGTGGGGACGGTCATGTTGAGACGCCCTTATTTCCCTGGGCGGAGTAAAAACACATGTAAAGCTCAAATGACGTACTCAGAAGCGAGTGTTATCAGGGGGGGGGGGATCTACGGACGACAAGCACCGCGCTGATTGGCATGTATAAAAGGGAGAATGTATGTATGTCGTTTGTGTCGTTCGCTGTCGTGTGTAAGTTGTGACACCGTTCTCGTGCGCAACCATCGTGCGGTTTGCAGTGGGGGTGGCGTGTGGCGCCCGGCGGTCAGAGAAAAGGTGCTCAAGCATGAAATCATTTTGCACTTGGTTCTGTATCGGCAAGGAATGAAAAGGGTGCAGACTTACCCGCTTCCGCAAGAGATCTATTCGCGGAATGGTTTGTTGAGGGTGTGAGTGGGGACAAGTGGGGATATGTATTCGATGGAGATGGTCGCGCGCGTGTGGTGTGTATTTTGTGTCTCGCCGTCCGGGTACAAGATGTTCATTTGTGGACGTACGAACGTATGTATGTAGCTCTATATATGTCGAGCTATTTTCCGTGGGATGGTTTTCGTATGCGTTGGAGGCTTTCGTGCTGTTGTAGCGGTGTGGTCGGGTTCTGTACATAGAGTGGTGATGGTGGCGGTGGTGGTGACGACTATTGCGTGGTGGGTTGCCAAGCCACGGCCCGCAAGATAACCGGTTTACATCTCGGCTACCCGTGGGATTTGGTTGTTTTGCGGTTCGCTGGGACGCTTGCGCGAGGGGTCTGGGGCGGGGTGAGTAAAACACGTTCCTCGATCTCGGGACGACATTTATTTCCAGGTTTGTTTGTTGATAGGGTCCGGGGGGGGGGGGGTAAGGAGGAGACGGCGACGGGCCGTCACGCGAATACGCGTGCATGAACGCAGTCCTTTGGACATGCGTGGGTAGCAAAGAGGCGCAGGCGACACGTAAACAAGGTATTAGTCAAGATGGTATCGCATTGTTGATATCGCATTGATATCGCATTGATACCGCATCATTTTTTTTTTTTGTTCCATGGCTCTCGGTACTGCATGTTGATTAGGTCGGGCATCACGGTGACCGACTGTGATTAAAAGCACGACGGAGTTGTCGGATGTGTAAATAGTGATGAGCATCACATGGATTGACGGGTTGGTTTGCGGCAAGATGTAGGCCGTCTTGTGCCCAGAAACGTTCGGAAAGGAGATTCCAAACGCCTACAAGTACATGTAGATAAACCGTACCACTTGTTTTAGCGGCACACGAGGGGGGCGCGACGGAGCCGGCCGTGTTTTCGTGAGGCCGCCCTGTTGCTCGCCGCTGGCGGGGCAATGAACCTGGGTTTTCGACAGGTTTGCGTGGGTGATGAGCGTGACGGCTTGTGGATGCAGCTGTGGTGTAAGGGCACTGCGAACATGCGCCGGTTTAAACACAACCAGCAGCACCGGCATGTAGGTAACGCGAGGAAAGGGTGTGCGCGTACCTCGTTTTTATGCCACGTGGGGCCCAAGGCACGCACCCTTGTTGTGTGTCCGGGCGAAAGATGTTGCGGCGCTTCGTTTCATAATAGTGTCATAATGTGCATACGTGTACAGTATGCGTGACGCTTGTCTGTGTGCTTGTAAGTTGAGTGTACAAGTGACAAGGGCAGGGTAAAAATCTCGTGATTTTCGAGTTCACGTTTGGTTTCCACTGCTGCTGTGGTAGGGCCACATTGTTTTGTGTCTTCATTCTACGATCGATCGCTCTTCGTGTTTGGGTCTGGGTGTCCGTTTATTTGCTCGTTGATTTTCTCTTTGGCCAATGGAGCCCATTAGTAGGTACAGTAAGTCGGCGGTTGAGCGCGCAAGGACGCACAGTGAGTTTTGTCCGACAGCAAGCTACATATCATCGCACGGTGGGCGGCTTGACTGATGGTCGTTGCCCTTGTCGCTGGGCGGGTTTGGTGGGAGAAGAGGGGGAAGGTACGCGAAGAAACGTATTTCGTCGGAGACGACGACGGGTGGGGCACTGAATGTAGAAAAAATACGGCATTTGGTCGTATCCATGAACAAGTCCTGGATAATATTATGCAGGTCATCGGTGGAGTCATTGTTCTCCGAAGGCTGGTGAGTCTCTGTCGTGGCTTCTCCATCCTGTGGGGTGTGCTTCGGCTGTGCCAGACCCCAGGGGTTGGGAGCGGATGGTGTCGTTGTTTCTTTTCGAGGCATCAACCCGACCAGAGACCGTAAGGTCGGAGGCGGGAGGTTCGCATGACGAGAGAGGGAGCGATGCACGCGTACACAGCAGTCTGTGCGATTTCTAACCCCGGGATCGGAATTTGACACACAGAGAAAAAAAAATATCAGGCTACACCAGTATCTATCCACCATACCCGGAATTTCTGTCGAAAAAAGTATGTTGGGCCGATAGCACCAGCAGGGACAAGAAAACAAAACCATACGTACGTTTTATCAATTTCCCGGCCCCGTGAAGGACCAGCAGTTTCAAAGGCACGAAAAAAAAAAAAAGCCAGGCTCGACATGACACAACGCCCAGGTCGTATGCACGCAAATAACATGGCATACACACGCACGATTCGTTGCGCGCGTCTGTCCGTGCGCCTACGCTTCATGCATCACACGGTGTACGGTAGCTTAGCTAAGTTAGGCTTAGTGCAACCAGACGCCGAGAAATTCCCCACGTCTTGGCAGGCAACAACAAACACCAAAAACAAGATTGTCGCGGTCGTCACCAGACCAAAAGAGACCAGCCCCTCTTCCGACCGGGCAATTTGCCCCTCCAGATTTAGTCATTTTTTGTTCCTTTAGTTGGAAGAAAAAGCGCGAATAAAAAAAAATAAAAAAAATAATAACAATTCGACGAACAACGACGGGCTTAACATTTACATACACAGCAGGCTTACCATCAAATACGTCATACAGATATCCGTATACACCAATCAGCGCACCTAACGTCCACCGCCAACGGGACATGATCCACAACCTGCATACATACCTGTGCGGACTATTAATAATAGCCTCCGGTTGGGGGACACATGTCCTTGCAAGACACGCGTCGAAGGTTCTACGCTACCGCTACGGTCAGGTGGTCGTCGCCCCTTTTGGCTGAGGGCACAGGGAACCGAACAACAACACAGCACACAACAAACACACGCGCGCGCGTCTAAACAACGAGCAGGCGCGAGACACCCCCCGAGAGGGGAAACAAATCCTTCGAGTCGGAGCCGCGGCGGGCAAAAACAACAGAAAACGCCGACGGTATCTATGTCGACGCAATGCCCGAGGCCTCTCGTAAGCAAGCAGACAAAAAAAAAAACAAGGGAGGGCCCCGTACCGAGCACGCCATAGTAACATACCCGTAGCAAAAACAAGAGACAAAGCATTGCAAAACCTGGATGCCTTTTCATATACGTGCCACGCGGCTTGGTTCTACAACCACGCCTCCCTACCGGCTACCGCTGAATACAACATTCCGCGGGGGGGCATCGAGGCAGGATGGGAACGATGGTGCCAATATAAGTCGCCCCTTCCCAAAGAGAGAACACACCAGACGGGGAATACAATCAACACCACGATACCCGTTCAGTTTTCAGCACCTTGCCGTCGTCTGAGATGGGGAACTGTATCGTAGGACTTGTTCTTTCGTGCACAAGGTTCATGGGAAAAAATCTTCCACAAGAGCGGCCACAAAACATTTTCGAGGTAGATCGAAGACGCACAATATTCCCTTCGTGCACGCCAAAGTTTTCTACACGCCAGGTTCGGGGTGGAGCCGCTGCGCCCCCCCCCCCGGGCGCGCGCACGCTCTCGGTACCGCCAAGGCCACGTTCCTCTTGCTCTTAGGTACTCGAATTACCACAATTTAAAGGGCGTTTTTTTTCACGGATGGTATCGTTGGTCGTTTACGCCTCGGTCGGGTTTCCGGCCTTGATTTTCTCGTCCAACGCGAGCTGGGGGTACCACGCCTTGGCTGTCTCCTTCAACTCCGCGTACGCCTCCTCGAGGCCATCGTTGACCACCACCTGGCGCACGAGCGCAGAGGGAAGGGGGGCGTACTCTCATTATGTTTTGCATGCCTTCGTTGTTTTGACCACGCGTCCTCGAGAGAGTACGGAGCATTGTTTCCCACAGGGCCGAGCGCCGATGGCCAACCGTTCCTCCCTACTTTGCCAAAGGTGACTCAAAAATGTTTTCCGTAACCTAACGAGCGCCGAGGGGAGGGTAAGGAAACGTCAGCCACCCCATCACCAGCCTTCGGGCCGGGCCTCAGACGACACCACCCTTACCCGCATCACAGCGGCTCATCTTTACCGCGAAACCCTATCCAACAAGCACACCTGAGCCAATCAGTCCTTCATTCTTCTCGGATCTCTTTTCTTGCTCCCCGGTTCTTTGGGGTTGTGTGTTAACCGTTCTACGTGTGTTGTAAGCCCGAGGTCCTTGCTACTGTACACAGGAAGGTAGTGAGAGCATGCATACCTTCTCGAAGTTGTCGGCCTCCAGCCCATACTCCATCTCCGCGTTCGCGTTGGCCAATCGTCGCTGCAGAGCCTCTTCCGTCTCCGTCCCTCTGAGTTGCGAAGACATCAAAGTGAGTTAGACACACGCACCAAAAAAAAAGCTGGGAGATGAACATACATCCGACAGACAAATACAAAAATATCAGCGGAGTTGACCTGTTATTCAACAAAAAACAAAACGTGTTTGTGAAAAAAAAAGAGTCAAGTCTTTCCATATGGGGCAGCCACAAAGGTGATCTATCTGAGAAGTTCGACAAGGGAGGGCGGGGGAGAGAGAGAGACAAGAGAGAGAGACGATGGCATCGTTCGATTGTCCCGACAACCAGCACGTTTGGCCGAGAGACCAAAAACACCGTCGAGCTAGTTCTTGACGCCCTTACAATACAACACGCGACATCCACGGGGGGGGGGGCAAAACAGCCGCACACACCTGCCCCTAAGCCTAGCCTCCAACACCTCCATCGACGGCGCCGAAATGAAAAGGTAGTGGGGGTCCAACACGCCCCGGCCAGCGCCGCGGACGGACTTGACGCCCTGGACGTCGATGTCGAGGATGCAGATCTTTCCTGAAGCGGTGACGGTCTGGACCGCCGCGATGCTACAAGGTATGCAGAGTGCAGCAAATCGTCGACGGGGAGAGGCGGCGGGAGGAGAGGAGATCGGGCTTTGTGGTTGGTGAAAAAAAACAATACAAAAACTTTTGGTACACCTTCATGTGTGTTCCGGTGCCCCCCCCCCCGCAACGAGTTACAATAGGAAGGGGGCCGGGGACCGCGGTGGGGACAAATTGGCCGTGTGTGTACAGTCAATGGCATTCAACAACAACAACGGATAGGGTCTGCAAGAGGAGGCACGTCCCGAGCTTGTGCCCGTATCGAAGCGGATACCAAAGCGCGCTGTTCAAAAGGAACGGGCGAGCGTGTGAGCGTGTGTGGGACACTGTCGTTGGCGCCGCTGCCTCCACTTGGGGCGACAAACATTATAGAGGAGATGCGATAACTCACATACAATGGCAGGGAGTGTGGGAGCACTGCACTCCGGCCATGCGCATACTGTACCGCGCAAGCTGGATAGATCGATCGATAAATAGATACGTGTAGCTCCGAAGGTTTCCTGGCGTTGCCACTCTCTGCATCCACGTAACCTGACCGATCGACCTCCCCCCCCCCAAATAAAACACACGCACACACGTACCTAAGCGTGTTCGCGATAAAAGAACGAAAAATAAAAATGAAAGCTGGCGTGTTTTCATTGATGGGCCGGTTTAAGCGGTCGATGCTACTGCAAGAAACACACACACACACTCATGGGGTACCATGTCCTGGCCTTCAAATGCATTTTCTGCAAAACCGCTCCGAGACTGACGTCTTTTCAATGGGCAACCGGAAAGCGTCGATGACAATAACAAATAACAGGCAACACGCACGCACGCACTACTATAAAAAAACGCTACACAGTCCAGCGCGCGACGACATCGATCCCGAAAACATTTATCAAGACAAAACCACCACAAAGAACACTAACTCCCCCTTTTGGTGATGCGATAAGCCCAACAAGTTCCACATACTGTAATGCTTGCATGTATGCCTGCATATGCGAAACGCCTTCTCTCATTCTACGCATACGTACCTCGTTCCGTACAAGTTCGCGTGCACGTTCGCGTGCTCGATGAACTTGTTGTCGTCGATCTCCGCCTGCATCTCCCGCTTGTCGCTGAAGTAGTAGTGCGTGCCGTCCACCTCTCCGGGCCTCGGCTTCCTCGTGGTGTGGCTCACGGAGAAACCGAACCGACCGGGGAAGTCTTCGCGCAGCATGTTGATCAGCGTGCCCTGCCGGGGGGAGCGTTATGGTTGTCGTTGGTGTTGTCAGCTGTTGTCTTGATATTGCAAGCCCTTCCGGTAACTGCTCAGTTCCTTTCTGGAATCCGTACCGGTCCGTACCGGTCCAATGTACGCGGACGCTTTCCGTGGCCACAGGCCGACCTCTACCCCAAAACGGTATACTGCTATGCATCCACACTCACGAAAAACAACAAAATACGTTAGGGTGGTTTGAGAAAAATCTCTCCGAAAGATGGCGGGGTTTCAGTTGGGGGGGGGAGGTTGAAGAGAACAAAAACTACACACGAACTCTGGTTAACTGGTCAACGAGCGTGGCTTTGGGTGGCAGTCCGTCTTTCCATCGCGTTTCTTGCTTTCCGCTGCTGTTGGTCCTGTCGTTGCAAACCCATGGTGGCATAACTCTACTCGAGGAAAGTGTATACTGCAGTACCACATGGCGGGGGCCCCGACAGCAAAAATAAAAAATCGAGGCCGTCTGGACACTCGGGGGGAAACGTATGCATAATATCTGCGACAGTTTTCGACAGCTTTCCAGTTGCAGCATGGACAACAACATCGATGGTACGCTAGCAACCGCGGTTCTGCAAACACGGAACACGCCTCAGGATGCGTCCTGCCGGCCGTACCACCTTCTGTCGCACCCCCCCGTTGAGTGCCTCCAAGGTCCTTCGTCTCAACGCCCGCGATCCCCCCCACACACATCCTCCCGCTCACCAAACATCACACCCACGTACCTTCCCCACACCGGATGGGCCGCAAATGACGAGGGGCTTGAGGCTAGCCGCGTCGCCGCCGGCAGCATTGCCCGCAGAGCAGGTAACCGTGCTGCTCAGGCAGAGAGATGGACGACGGAATGAGAGACAGGCGGAGAAGAAAGCGGGGCGAAATTCACGGAGAAGACAAAGGTGCTGGCTGAGAGGAGGCATCAGGGGGGGGGGAGGGGGTGACGTGTATAGTACCTGAGACAACGGGTTTGAGGCAATTGGTGTTATCCGTGAGAGAGGGGGTTGGTGGCGGAGCTACTGCTGTACATACTGAGACAACAGGTTTGAGGCAGTAGGTTGGGACCAAGCGGACGTACAGCCGAGGTCATTAGACTTATCAACCTAAAACACTTCGGTCTAACCTTCCCGTGCCCTGAGACGACCGGGTTCGATGATTAATCGGACGAGATCGAACAAGTCTTGTGGACTTGCGGGTTGTGGCTCAGGATTAGGTTGTCTAACAGAACAGTCAGCGAGGTACAGCAGTATACGTCTTCGCTCGACAGCAGTGTCTGTGAGGAACCCGAGCCTGGCGAACGATTCACCCATCATCATCCTACTATTGTACTTGGAAGTACATAGCTTGCAGTCTATACCAGCCACCATATGCGGCTTCGTGCTAGAACGAGGTTTCTTTTTTCTCTCCGTGGGGTAATTTGGTAAATGTGGCATCTGCACACAGCAGCAGGTCGTCCAAGTAGTGGGGTCAGGGTTTTGTCTAAATAGAGAGTGTAACGGCGTCTGCGACTAAATAACACCGAGGGCTGCTGGTGTTGCTGGTGTTGTTCGCAGGCGAAGCGTACACAAGACTGCTGTACGCTTACGTACGCGCGAAATGTTTTCACAGCTATATAGCTGTGAGTTGTGGGCCGACACCACCACCCCAACACCCACATCTATGTTGTAGATATTTCTATATGCATAGCAACGGTGGACGAATAGCGGATGAACTACTGTACGAAACGGAGGCCGCACATGAGAGTAGAACAAATTTTAAATTTCATCTCCACGCTGCATCAGCACCGATTCGCGGACGCAGTTCCAAGAAGCACCCGGCTGGCTGTTTTGGGCGTGCGCGTGCCGGGAGCGCTGATTCATCTCCTCTCCTGCGGCGGAACAAACAGACCGAGTCGGCCTACTACTAACTTGTACGTGTAGCTGAGCTGTGCTGTGCTTACGTGTGTCCGTGCGAGTTGGTCGGATAGTTTTTCGAATCTGAAGAGACGTTCTGGTTCTTGCCGAACACTACACTCATAAATACCAAGCAGGAGGCGTACGCAGCGCACACACGTGCCTTCCTCTCCATACAGACGAGGTTAATGGCCTCCTCTTGGTTTTCTAGGGGCTAAGCGCGAAGACGAAGGGGTCAAGGCGAACATCAGCGTACCTCTTGCCGAACACGCCAGTCCTAGCCAGTGACCTCGACCCACCGCCCTTGGCCACCCAGGCGTACGCGACCGACCCCAGTGCCGAGGCCGTGACCACAGCGGCCATGGTGCGCTGCGCAGAGGGGCCGAAGGACGACATGGTCATGGGAATGATGTGCGAGACAAGAAGAGAGGACAAGCACAAGCCAGTGTGACGACTGATGTGTGTGTCGCGCTCTCTTCTTGACTGAGAGAACAGAGCCAGAGCACACCACGCGGGCAGAAATTTGCAACATAGGGGTGACGCAATTTCAGCGACGTACCACGCACCATTTGTATTTCCTATTCGTTGGACCCCCTCGGTCGGATCTGCACCTGGTCCGGCCATCTTGCCCCTCTTCCCACTCACAACAACCCGGCCCACCGAAAACACTTATACGACTGACGAAGGACCACGACGCTTGAGGGAAAGTCAAGACCCAGAAGACTGAGGGAGCACTAGAGAGCGAATAACACCGGCCTGTGAGCTACCAGCCGTCTTGCGGGAGATATTATCCCATTTTTGCGAACTCGCACACCCGGTGAGAACAAGACCCCCCGACGATGAATCACGGAAACGCTTCCTCCGCACTCAAGACCGCCATACGCGGCGCCTCCGCTGCACGAGGCACCAGCCGGGCCGCCGTCCAAGGGCGGGCCGTCGCGAACGTCCAGCAGCGGACGTTCATCACACCCGCTTACAACCTTGCCAAGAAGGTGAGAGATCTCCCGAAGAAGAGGGGAGGAAGAAGACGACCACGGCGAGTTGAACTTCAACTGGCTCTGTGTTTTTTTTCGTGTTTTTCGACGCTGTATCGAGCGAGCCAGAGTCGACCCACCTCCTGCCCCACCAGACAGCCAGCCTAGCTCTGACGTAGAAGCTTGTTTCCTCGGGATGGCCTCCGGGCCCACGACTGCTGCTTTTTTCAAGGCAGTACGCAACGCCCAAGATAGGAATTCGTGTCAGTTGAAGTTGGGCCGCCACCCTCGCGCGTTCAAGCCGCCATATCCGATCATATCCACGCTACACAGGGCTACAGCAGTACTGCGAGGAGCTCACCCCACCTGTCGAGTTCACTCGCGAGTGTGTGTTTTCATATGTGTACCATTGGTACGCAGCGGGGTGACCGATAACCGCGTTATCCATCCCCACATCCCCACTGCTGGAGCGGTCGTCGGTGGAAGCGACGAGGTTTTGGATTTGAGGATTTTGTGAACATTTTTCTCTTTGGTCGATCGGGCGTAGTCTACACCTCTCCGTTCCCCGGGCATACCGCTGCCATCGCCTGTCACCAGATTCTCCAACATCGTACGATAGGAGTGCAAGCGCCCGAGCAAGTACGGACGTGTTTACCGCCTGTGAAGTGTTAACATGTTTTCGTGCTTGTTTACACCGGCCGTGCAGCAGTCTATTCTCGGGTTGTTGGCGCTGGCTCGTACAAGTAGGTATCTGTTCGTTGGGGTACAGCGTACATGTGGTTACTACCGAATTGGCGATCGGCGACCACACGGCGGTGTATGTGGGGTGGGGAGGTCTCCGCACGGAGATAGTCACATGAAGCGGCCGGATAAAATACAAGCGGTGAACCTGGACGACATCCATCCGCGTATCAACTATAATAGTATCCTCGCGCCTGCTGCTGATTCAGTTTCAAGGACGAGCCACCCTGACGTGTTTTCAAACATGCCAGCTCAAGAGTTGGCAAACGAGAACCTTACTCGGGAAAACTCGTTCTGTGTTGTCGGGTATGGCCGAGAATGCTCTTGGAGGTTCATGTACAACTCGCAAACGCGGCAGTGGCGAAGCGGAAACAAGTGCTGTCAACAGCGAGACATTGGCGGTGAAATTCGGCCCTCAATCGTTCGGCGCTCTTGTTGCAAGCTACATAACGTGCGAGGTAGATGGCTCCTCGCCATTGTTGCAAGGACGTGCGTGGTAGATGGATGGCTTCTCGCCGATCAGATGCCCGTGTTTCGGAAAAACAGCAGCAGAACACGTGCTGTTGCTCTCTTGTTTTTCGGCTCTCCGGTCGGTACGTCGAAAAGGAACTCGGGTACGGCACGGCAGGGAGGCAGAGAGAGCCTGTTGTTGCCTCCCTCCCACTCGCCAACACACCTTGTTTTAATTTGCGACAACATCAGCGGCGCCAACCGCACCAATTTCTGATTTGCGTCACAATCTGGTGTGCGTTGTGCAGCAGGCCTCGCAGGGTTTTCGTTTTCGTAAACATGTTGGAAAAAGTATGTAATTTGGGAAGCTTACATGTTAGGGTTTGGGTTGGATCTGCGTACCCCCTCCCTGTTCTATTTTCCTCATAAACTTAGTTTCACGCGAGGTATGCATAGGCGCTGACTGACTCGGAAATGCTTGCGAGTTTAAAATTAACCGTCCGTTTAGAATTTACTGGTCGTCAGTTTTTTTTCTCGACGAGCTCCTCCGACAAGTCACCGCTACAGCTCCTTACATTTGCGTGAGCTCATTCGTGATGGGTGGCCGTTTTCTTGTCTTTGCTCCTCTTCTCGTTTTGGCTCGTGTGTTTCGCAGATCACTCCCAAGATCTCCGCCACCGAGGCCGCCGCTTTGGAGGCCGGCACGATCGGCTTCGACCGCGACATCTTCGACGGCACGGCCAGCCTGCAGTCCCTCAAGGACAAGTACACCATCGCCAAGTTGACCGACCGGGAGCAGTCCTTCATCGACAATGAGGTGAGTACCTAGTTTGTCGACTCAAACAGGTCGAATCGACTCAAAACAGATCATGTCTTGTTTGGCCCTTTTCAGTCGAGCCGACTGGGGGGCTGGTGCAAGAAATCTCGGTGCTTTTTTTTGTGGGAGTATGCGTAGAATGGTTTGTTTCCAGCCCGACCTGGCGGACGGGTCAGATGCCGCGCCGGTCGTCTGCGGCATCGAAACGCCTCCTCGTGATCGATGGAAAGCTTAAGAGACGGAAGTGCAGAGCGAAGAGAGTAACTGCAGAGCACACACACGCACAGAGAGGCGGAACAGATCGGTAACCTTGAAACGTTACATGAGCAAACACGACATGCTGAACAAGCAGAAGGCCAGCGGTAGCCCTACTCCTAAGGAGCGTCACACAACGAGCTGCCAATAATTTGTGACTTTCATCCTTTTGATGATCCAATACGATACAGTCGCTCGCTATTTTGACGCGCCTTCGTACGGTCTTTACTACGTGCTGCACGTCTCAAATATTCTTGAAACCCGTGTCAAGTTACTATTTATGCTACCACCGCTCCTCCTGTGTGCAAGCTTCTGGGTGGAAGTAGATGCCCCAACCGCGCGCTTTGCGTTGTTGCTTTTTGTTGCTCTGGCCGCTTTTCCTCCTCTGCACAGGTCGAGACCTTGTGCGAGATGCTTGACGACTACCAGATCTCCAAGGACAGGGACCTGCCCAAGGAAGCGTGGGACTACATGCGCGAGAAGGGCTTCCTGGGCATGGTCATCCCGCAGGAGTACGGTGAGGCACGCATGCATGCATGCCCAATGGCGACTTCGCTAGGTTTAATGTGTCGCCGCCCACGGCAGCAGGGTGTTAATTGAGGTTGAGTCTTGGTGTTGCCGTCATCGTAAGTGTTGATTGTTTTTTGTGATGTTGGCGAAATACGGTTCTGCTTTCGACTATTGGCGGTGCAATATGCATACACATGTCTGATATTTTGGGGTCGTATGCTCTGCTGTTGAGGTTTCGATGAAGTTTGCTAGCGGTGGTATCTGAAGCCCCACACGGAACCTGTGCGTTGGCTTCATGCCAAACGAACCAATAACAGCAGCAACCGTACACTAATGAGTCATGTGTTACCCTTAAATTCACCACCGCTGCCCCCCCCCCCCCGCGCGCGATGACTTATACTAGGTGGCCTGGGATTCTCAGCTCACGGCCACTCCCAGGTTGTTCAGAAGATCAGCTGTGCCAGCGGCAGCGCCGCCGTTAGCGTGATGGTACCCAACTCCCTCGGCCCCGGCGAACTCCTCCTGAGGTACGCCGGCAGGAGAACACGCATGTATGGGTGTTGGCAGCGAAACACGGGGGAGGCGTGGGAAGGGGCAGGAGTAGGGCGAATCATGACGCCCGCTAGATGGGTTGCTGTCAGGCTGCTAGCTGATGTTGCTGCTTCTGGTGGTATTGTTGCGTCTGGGTGAGACTGCTACAGTCGTTGCCCCTGCTTCATGATTCAATCGAAAGTGCGATAGACGCATGCGGTAAAGAAGTGCATCAACTGAGACAAGCAACGGGCAAAACACGCCGAACCCTGACAGCCCACGCTGTGAAACGACGTGCTATTCCTCCCAATTATTTGTCTCAAGGATACGACTTGCCTTGGAAAAAACGTCCCTTAACCCGCCCTCCGGCCGGATAACCCACTTCTCGAACTAGGTACGGCACCCAGGCCCAGAAGGACAACTACCTGCCCCGCCTCGGGCGCGGAGAGCTGATCCCCTGCTTCGGACTCACCGGCCCCTCCTCCGGCTCGGACGCCGCCTCCATGCGCGACGTGGGCTACGTGACCGAGGAGAACGGGGTGATGGGTGTCAGGGCCACCTTCAAGAAGCGCTACATCACGCTCGCGCCCGTGGCCGGCATCGTCGGGCTGGCGTTCAACCTCAAGGTTTGTACTTGTATCCCAAAAGGCGGCAAGAGTTTGTCGCTCTGTGCTTTGGGTGTCTTTTGCATGTGAATGTAGGGAAACAGCAGCGGCCGTGAGGGGCGGGGGGTTGTTGTTGTTGCGTTCGTCCATAGTCGTTGTGCTCTTGATCATGGCACGGGTATGAATGGTTGGACTGTGGTTGTGCAGAGGGCCGGTGCGAGTTGCTGAGGCTGCTCATACGACGAATGCGGCACTCCACCGCAGCAGGGGCGGCCGCCGCGGGCGTAGGGAGCAGCCCCCCCGTCCACCATGTATTCTCAAACACGTTCTTGCTCCATTGCTTGTTAATCGTTTTCGCGGCCGGTGGTGGTGCACGTTTCCTGATCATGTCGTTTTTTCGTTTCGTGGCAGGACCCGAACAACCTGCTCAAGGGCAACGGCAACGAGGGCATCACGGTCTGTCTGCTCGAGAGGGGGCACCCGGGGCTGCGCTTGGGCGACCGGCACGACCCTTCCGCCAGCAGGTACGACCAGCTTTTGTTTCCGGGATGCTTAACCGTATGTATCGGGGGTATCGGGTAGTAGATTTCTTAAGTTGGACATGAAGAATGGTGGTTTCATGTTTTTATTCGCCGACTGACCGAGAGCGTGTTTTTTTCTTTGGGTGAGATTCTGATTTGGGCAGGCAGATCTCCTGCGTAGGTCTGTGCGATGAGTATAGACAGAGCATACAGGGAGCGGGGTGACGGAAGCCACCGCTGCTCCCGAAGCTCTGCCCCGCCAAACCCGCGGCGCGCCTGTGGCAACATTGTGCGTGTTCCCTGCCCCACCTTTAGTTGTGTCGAGAAAACGAATCACGGCCGCTAGAATAGGTTACATCACTGTTTTCCTCCGCATGTCGCAACTTATGTTTTCTTCTTCGTAGTAAAGCGATGCTTCGAGCAACGCTTTGCACTCCACCCCCCAGACTGGACTCGAGTTTTTAAGTGTCATGCGTCGGGGTGTCGGTGTCGAAACCTTGGTGGCGGATAAGGACAAGGATAAGGATAAGGAAGAAGGATCCATTCGCGGTATTCTCTACTTACTCCTGGGGGTTGACGAGCGGAAAACCTCGCGTGCACACACCAGGACAAGCATGACGAACAGCAGCTCCCTTGAATATTCTCGGTACGGTGACACTCACAACGCACGCCACTCACCGGTTTTGCTGCTTCTTTCTTTCGCGAAAAACTCTTCCGAAAACTAAAAAACAGCTTCATGAACGGTACCGTGGAGGGGGAAGAGGTCTTCATCCCCCTGGACCAGATCATCGGGGGCCGCGAGAGGGCAGGGTTCGGGTGGAACATGCTCATGGACTGCCTCGCCGAGGGCCGCGGCATCTCCCTGCCAGCCATGTCCGTGGCGGCGTCGAAGATGACCGCGTCCGTCGTGGGGGCCTACGCGCGCATCCGCAAGCAGTTCAAGGTGGGACGTTGTTGTTGCTGTGGTGGTGCAAGTAGCGGCGTTTGGTGCTCTATTTATATTTTGTTTTTTGGGTTCGCAAGCACGTTGCTAAGGCAGGCGGTTGGGTTTTTGTTTTCTTTTTGGTTGTTTCGTATTTAATTTGTCTGTCGCGTGTGCTTCTACAGACAGTCCAGCGCCGTAAAAAAAATGCGTGTTGTTCTCAACGCAGGTTTGGAAGGTATTGAGCAGAGTTTACGGTTTTGTGGTATGTGAAGACGACAAACCACAACAGTAACAACAAGAACACTCTTGTCCCTTTTCGTACCTTTTTTGGCCGCGTGTTGCTTGCGTCTTGATCGTCAGGTCCCCCTGGCTGAGCTCGAGGGGGTCCAGGAGCACCTGGCGTCCGTGGGCAGCAACACCCTGCTGGTCACCTCGGGACAGGCCCTCATGAACTCCATGCTCAACGGGCACGAGCAGCCCGCGGTGCTCTCTGCCGTCATGAAGCAGCAGATGACCACGCGCATGCGCCAGAACATCAACGACGGCATGGACGTCTGTGAGTTCCGTCGGTCGTGTTTGGTGTGTTGATCGTGGGTGGAAATGTCATGTGTTCCGGTTTTCGTTTTCGAGCCCGTGTTCGTACAGCTGTCACGAGGAGGCTGACGTGGCGTTAACCTCTGCTCCCCCTGCCTCTGCCTCTATCTTTTTCTGCCTGCCTGCATGTCGTCCCCTTTCCTTCTGTCCCGCCCTCGCTTTTACCCCCTCCGTGACGACAGTGGGCGGGGCCGGTATCTGCAACGGGCCTGCCAACTTCATGGGAAACCCTTACATGGCCATCCCTATCGCCATTACCGTCGAGGGCGCCAACACCCTTACGCGCAGCCTCATCATCTTCGGGCAGGGCCTCACACGCTCGCACCCCCACCTTCTCGACATCATCCGCTCCATACAGCACGGAGACGACCAGAAGGTGCGATTCAGATCAAGGAAAGAGGGGGTGGGCTGCTCTTAACATGTTTATCAGTAGGTCGTTTTGACACCTCACTTGCGAAGAGCCAAGAGGCGATCACACCGTGAGCACTCGCCATGTCATGAGCAACGTGTTTCGGCGAAAAAGCGTGGCCGAAAACCGTACGGACTGGTACACGCGTCACCTTGCTGCTCGCCACCACGTGGAAGAAATACTCGTCGCCTTTCCCTCAAGTGTTTCTTTCGGTCATCGCACATGCAAGTGCACACCGTGCTGCTGGCGGTGCCGTCAACCACTCTCACGCCTTGTTTATTCTATTTCGCTTTCCGATTCATGTTTTGACATATAAAGTAGAAGTTATAGCCCGGATCTGTTATGTAGGCCGTGTTCTCTGTAAAAGCTACGTAGGGATACGGTGATTTACATGTGTTTGTCTTGCATTCTGAGGAACACCACTTCATTTACGTGTACCGAAACAATATTGCAATTTTGTCTTGTGTTCGTCGTCGCAGGGCTTTAACAAGGCCCTGGGGCAGATCATCGGGCACGGCGTGGCCAACTCGACCAGGTCCTTCGCTCGCGCGCTGACGCGCAGCCGGTCCCGCGGCTCCGACCCGGCGGCTTACTACGCCTCTCAGCTCGACCGCCTCACGGCCGCGTTCGCCTACTGCTCGGACATCGCGCTCACCATGGGCGGCAAGATCAAGGTGTGTGTGTATGTATTGCGTGCGCTATTGCTGAGTCGGGGATGGCGTCTAAAGTCCATTCTTGTTCGATTCTTCCGGGAGAGGGAGCTGCTGTTTAATCGCATGCACTGAGGCCGTGATGTTGCTATAGCTGTTTCTGTTGTTGTTGCTGGTGATGTTTCTATGTGCGCCCAATATTTTCCCATTGCCCGCGGTATAGACCCCGCTCTTTGGATCTTGTGATGTTCAAAGCCGGCAGTGCATGGATGCGGCGCGTCTTGTGGTTCCACCTCGAACTGACTTCTTTTTACGAAACGCTTTTTTTTTTCTCGTGCTGCCGTTTGTTGTGCTGTGTTTTTTTTATTGGTCAGTTCGCGGAGATGCTCTCCGGCCGGTACGCCGACGTGCTGAGCGGGCTGTTCCTGGGGTACTCGACCCTGTGGTACACCTCGCACCACAAGAACGTCAAGGGGCTGGACAAGGTCACTGACTTCGCCATGCAGGTACCACGAACAAAAACGCAAGCAGTGCCGATGTGATGGGCTTGACCACACTTGTAGCACGTTGTTGTCGTTGTTGTCGTTGTGGTGTGTGGGTGACCGTGGTGGTGGTGATGGCGTCGTCGTTGTTTGTTACCCTGACGATTCTCTTCCTTTGTTCGCTGGGTCATACATGCACGGATAACAGTTGGGAAGGGGGGAAAAGAAACGTCAACCTTATAGTAAGCGTCCAAGCTTGACGAACATGTTGAGTGAAATGAAAGCTCACGAGCACATGCCTCTTTGCCTGACCGTTGAAGACAAATTCGTTATCACCTCTCTCACCTACCTCTTCCATCTCTCGCGTTGTTGTAACAAAAAAATAGCGCACCCTGGCCGACATCGAGGACGCCTTCTACGGCATCTTCGCAAACTTCCCCAGCAAGACGCTTTCTCTCGCCATGCGCGGAGTGGCCTTCCCCACCGGCCGCTGCTACCAACAGCCCTCCGACACCCTCGCCCAGGAGGTGTCCCAGCTCATCTCCACCGACACCCAGGTACGTAAAGTTAGATAGTTCGTGGCCATGTGGCTTGTGTGTACACCTTGTTGTTATGCCCCCTCCTTTTCTCTGGTTTGTTTAGGTGGTAACTCGACCGATTATTTTTCTGGGCGCCACGTATGTTTCGAGAGCGTGCGTACGGGTGTGCGGTCTACCGGGAGAACGATATGTTGGGGGGCTCATTGTCGCAAAAAAACAAGTCAAACAAAAAAATTCCACGCGCAACTCGACATCACATGTCCTCCCCAAAACTTCTGTTTACTTCGTTTCCTCAACGAGTACGCCCCCCCTCCCGGCCCAAACCACTTCGGTACACGAAACACGACGGGTTTCGCTAGGTGCGCGAGCTGTTCAAGGAGAACGTGTTCCTCAGCAACGACCCCATGAACCGGATGACGCTCATCGACGCCACCCTGCCCAAGGCGGTCCAGGCTGACGGCGTCCTGCGCACCCTGAGGCGCGAGAAGCGCGAGGCCACCGCCGACGAGCAGGCGCTGATCGACGAGGTTGAGGCGGCCCGCGAGATCATCATCCAGGTGCGCACGTTTTTTTTTTTGTTCTCTTGTGTGTGTGTGTGTGTGTGTGTGTGTGTTGTGCGTGTGTTTCAACTCACGTCGACAGCGCTAGCCGGCTCAAGAATGAAAATACGTTGTTTTGTAGCGGGACAATAATAAGAACCCAAACAAGGCGTACAAATGAAAAGGGTCTATCGACAGGGGGGGGGGGGGGCGCAGGAGTTGGACGACAGTTTCCGGCTTCGGTGTAGGGTCTATGTTTTCCGCTCGCGGGCAACCATCCAACCAATCATCCAACCCATCCTGCTTCGGTACAGTCGATGTTTTCCGCTCGTGGACAGCCAACCAACCAATCGTCGTCATTCCCCAACCAACAGGTCGACAGCTTCCCCGGCCTGGGCAAGGAGATGCAGGACGGCCGCGACTTCAGCCCGGAGAACCGCCCGGCCCTCGACGACATCTACGGCGTCAAGACCGGCGCTGCCAAGAGCGCGGTGGCATGATAACACACCGCGTCGTCCACAAGTGGCGTGCTTTGATGCCGCGGAACCGTGGCTCGATAGGATTATCAGACATTCGGCAGTTTGGTACTGGAGGAGAATTGTCAGGATCTTTGTTACGTCGTTGACCTTGTTGCGTCGGCGGCGGCTTGGTTTGTGCCAAGTTGGCCACCGCGGCAGGATTGCCCGGAGAAAGCAAAAAGAAACATAGAGAATTGTGCTGTTTGCCCTTTTGCCGCGGCCGTTGTATCGAGAAAGTATGGCGGGGCATGACGTGGTTGACGGTATTTATTGCAAGATAAGGAGTCTGGGGCACAGAAGGTTAGAAGAAACGTCATGTCTGTCTTTCGGTGGCGGGCCCTCGGTCCACAGTCGTTTCTTCATAAGCTCGAATGTAAAAATTTGCATGATTTCGAGGCCCATTTTCGAAGAGACGTACTGGTGCAGTCCCAGCGGTAGAGGCGGGAGGTCCCGCTGGTGCTTTTTTTTTTGTAACGTGGCTTGACTCCTCCAGGCGAGCCAGGGGCGAAGGAGGGATAGATGCTGGATAATGGGCACAAACCGAAGCCCTTCGCATGTAGTCCCCGGTTTTCTGATTTTTTTGAGTGTCATGTATGCATATTAGCCATTGGACGACCAGACGGGTGCAACGCATGTGCCCTTGCCTCATGAACAACAGAAAGAATAGGGGTACTATATGTGTGTGATGGTATGTGGCTTGGGAAAAATCAGTGGTAGATGTGTTGTCTGCATGTTCTTAGATTAATACAATGTCGGCCGAGAGAGACCGTCAACAATTTTGATACTCGTACTTTTCTTTCTGCCATCTTTGTGTTCTAGTCGGTAGTGGCGTAGCTTTTTCGTAGGCTAGAGGTGCAAGCAGCCTCCAAGACAAGCCGGTGGATTAGGATCACACAGGTCGAGCGGCGGACGAGGAAGCCCCCCCCCCCCCCCCCCCCCCCCCCCAAAAAA